GACATCAACGGCACCGCCCGCAAGCGTTGTGGTGGCGCCTAAAGACAGCTGGAGTAAGTCGGCTCTGAGCCCTTCTATATCGGGCTCCACTGTCTCAGCCGTTCCCTCGGTCTCCAAACCGCTTCTAGGGACTTCCACGGCTTCGAGAACCGCTGCCGGTACGGAACGCTCCCCGGCACCGAGCTGCAGCCGCTCCCCGGCACCGAGCCGCAGCCGCTCCCCGGCACTGAGGCGCATGCCCAAGCTGCCTGCAGAGCTGAGCCATTCCTCAGAACAGGAGCGTACTTCGGCACCGGCTCATTCTAGACGATCACCAAAACAAACGCCGAAACCTTCGACAAGGCGACGCTCGGTAACTCCTGAGCATCCTTCTCCTTCTACATGGTCGGCACCAAATCGATCATCGCCGCCCATGAAGCAACAAAAGCTTAAATGTTCATCGGCACCTGAGCGTTCCCCGTCATCGAGTGTACCAGCACCGAGCCACCCTTCAGGACCGGAAGGATCGTCACATCACAGACTTCCCTCAGAAGGACGTCCACCGGCACCGCGGCGGCCTTCTCCTTTGAGACGATCCCCGGAACTGAGACAATCGTTGGTGCCGAGACAATCAACTGTGACGACGCGGACCACCTCGGCGCGGACTTCTCCAGTACCAGTGGAGATAATTCCTCACTCTGTGCTTTCCACTCCAACTTCCTCTCCACCAGAACAGTTGCTGGCACTACCTGCCCGTACATCCAGGAGACTATCTTCTTTATCACCAAGTCCTGAGTTCTCTCCTGAAGTACGTTCACCATCTCCGGCGTACTCTGAATACTCTCGTGCTGGCCAAATCTCGCCACATCCCGGTCATTCCTACCACCATAATTCCTCACTCTGTGCTTTCCACTCCAACTTCCTCTCCACCGGAACAGTTGCTGGCACCACCTGCCCATACATCCTGGCTGCAACAGTCCTCTGCTCCCAAAGACCTCTTCTCGAAGGTCGAGGACCTACCCTTTGACAGGCAGAATCTCTTTTCTGATAAGACTGACCAACTTCTGCACTCGGGGAAGGACTCCAGAACCACTTTAAAAACACTGGGCATGTACACTCCTCCATATCGTAGAAAGCGGTATACCCCCTACCAGAGGCAGAGGCCCCCCCTACGACAATCTCCTCAGTATAGGCCTCAAGACCAACAAAGAGGTAGACAGCGGCAACAGCGGAGACGCCCGCCACCCAAAGCAACTTCCCAACAGGGTACCAGACAGCAAGTTTGACGCGTCACTCGAGGGGTTGAGAACCATTCCCATCAGTGCCATTCTGAGTGCTACGAAGGCGATATTTCACCACCGTCTGAGGCCGTACCTCAATCAATGGGCTTACATCACCACCGACAAATGGGTCCTTCAGACAATTCGCCTTGGTTACACCATCCCATTCATGTCGCTATCCCACCCATCCCCCCCTGCCCTGTCCCTTTTCAGGGACCCATCTCACGAGCTCTTGCTCAGGCAAGAAGTTACCCATCTACTCGCTGTCGGAGCAATGGAGCCTGTTCCGGACGAGTTCAAGGGCAGATGGTTTTATTCCCGGTACTTTGTAACGGAAAAGAAATCAGGGGGATGAAGACCGATACTAGATCTTCGCGACCTCAACCGTTTCTTACGAAAACAACGGTTTCGAATGGTTACCTTAGTTACAATCATCCCAGCACTTCAGAACGGGGATTGGTTCACATCCCTCGATCTTCAGGATGCATACTTTCACATTGCGATTCATCCGGCGCACAGACGATTCCTATGCTTCCAAATCGGTACAGACCGTTTCCAATACAAGGTCCTGCCGTTGGGTCTCTCATCGGCTCCATGGGTTTTCTCCAAGACCCTGGCTGTGGTAACCGCATATCTTCGTCGTCTACACATAATGATCTTTCCATACCTCGACAATTGCTTAATCAGAGCCCACTTGTTGCAGGAAGCACGCAATGCTACAGAGA